TGGCGGCAATTGCATATTGCAGACTATGGTTTAACATAAAAGAACTGATATTTAAAGTGGCAGGATTTGTGTAAGCGATAGCCAAAAACTCAGAATAATGAAATATCGACATGACTGTGGCATAAATGCCAAAAGCACGCCAGTTTTCAGCTCCCAAACCATACACAAAAACACCCATTGCAAAAACGTAACCTAGAAACATTGATCGTATTGCTATTTGATATAAAATCCCCTTGAAAATTAGCCTTAGAATTATGTTGCTGAGTGAAAAATAAAGAGCTGGCCCCCAACATATTGCGCCCCATATTTTGGGAATAAAGTCAAAGTATACTTCTGGTAGGAATAAAAGGAAAATTAAACAGGCGCTTCCTAGGAAACAAAATACACTTAATTTGCCTTCATAACACAACATTGTTTAACTTAGAATTTTGCTAAAGTGGTTGTGAAATTACATGTTTAATATTTTATATACAAAATTTGTTGAAGTAATTTTTAAACATTTTTGCTGTCAATTTTGACGTTTCTTGATTTGTGACATTCGTGCATTTACACCTAACTTCAGACCACATTGCGCAAGATAACTTTCATTGACAGCACGGAATTTGAATTTCAGAAACTATTAACAAAATTGCTTGTCACTCCTCAAATAAAAACAATTAATTATCAATGTCTCACAAATAAACTACTATTTACTGTCAAAAATGACATTTTCTAAATTTTAAAGTTCCATTTAACCCATTCGTACATTTTCATTAATCTTTGCCCTAACATGGCCGCCGTTGACAGTTCTTTATCACATTTTTGATTCTTGAACGTTCCGTGCACACGACATAACCTAAATCTTGCACAAGTTACATGATTATTCGCATTTAATTACATAAATATAGTAGTGAGTGTATTTAAAATAGTGCAAAATGTCGTGGATTTTTGGTTACGGTAATAAACAGCCCCAAATTCCGAATATGGATGCCGGAACGGGGGCTCCTCCGGGGGCTGGCGAATCTGCCGGAGACGCTCAATTATCGAAGGCTGAGAGGAAAGCTATGGAGGCTTATAGATTTGATTCAACTGCATTGGAAAGGGCTGCTTCGGCAGCTAGGGAATTAGAAAGATCAGGTAGGATCATTGATTTTGTAGGAAAACATGATTGTTACTACATTACTATGTTACTAAGGTCATGGTCGAAATTACATCATTGTAATAGACACATTGTTAATTTAGGAGTTGCTAGAATTGCAATAAACAGGTTCATTCAAAATATATAGAAAATTTCAATTTTATTTTATTTGAGGTTAACAAGTTGCATCATTGTATAGACAGAGAGCTGAATTACCCTTATTCATCATCTTTAATTAAGCATATTATTTAATATTTATTCTATAGGATTGTTAGAACTTTTCATTCATGGCTTTACATCATATATTTTTCTAAATGATTTATATTAATTACATATATTATTTTGTGTTTCGATCATTTTATTATATATTTCTTTCACCAGCGCATGCCAAAGATGCTCTAGAATTATCTAAAATGCAAGAAATGACTCGACAAAAAGAATACTCTGTTAAAGTAAAAGAATACGAAGCACACATAGAACAAGCAAAAGTTGAACAAAAGCGAATAGACCATGAAGAACGGAGAAAAACTCTTGTTGTAAGTACTATTGTATATTTGAAAATTTTCAATTATTTTCATTAACTGTAAAGGACTGTATAATTTTATTTGTTTAGGAAGAAACTAAACAACATCAAGCTCGAGCTCAATACCAAGATCAGCTTGCAAAAAAACGTTATGAAGAGCAATTGGCACAACAGCAGAGACAACAGGAGGAAAATTTAAGAAGGTAATAATAATAATAATAATAATAATATATATATATATATATATATATATTTAATATTTATTATTTTTTTAGACAAGAAGAGAGTGTGGCGAAACAAGAAGCAATGCGCAAAGCTACTATTGAACATGAAATGCAGCTTCGAGAGAAAAACAAGTTAAAACTGCTTGAAGCAGAATTGCGTGCTAAAGCCAAGGTAATAAGTTTATCAATTAACTATATTTAAAACTATGTCTACCTCATGAACAATGAGTTAGAGTTGGAAATAATTTTCCATTTATTTTTAATCTCACTTCAAAAGAAATGTTTAAACAATCAAATTATTTCA